AACAACATAGAATTTACAGCTACCTTGGCAGCAAGGTTGTCTGCTGATGCTGCCTGCTCAGTGCTAGCAACTGAGGCTTTTGTGTGGTTCTCAGTTGCATCAGGCAGGCTCGGAGTTGAGCTTGACTTGCGACTTGTAAGAACACTGGTGCTTCCACTTTTCACTGCATCTACCAAATTTTTACTGCCTCTGCCTGAAACACAATTTCAATTGAAGTGTGACAAGAGTTACATTAAATATAGCAACTGAAATAGGCGGGTTATTTAACACACTGAGAACCAGCTGATACTATGTCTTGCTGGAAGACGGCCACTTCATACTTGAACGATGATTTCAGAACTGGAGTGTAAAAGAATGTTCTGGGAACAATTTACCATTTAAAGCTGAAATTCATCTAAATAATAATTAAAAATTCAGCTCTTATCTCAAAGGAAACACAACACATTTTCAATACTAAGATAAACAGGTACATACTTTTGAGTGAAATAATCAGTGTCTAAGAATCATAACAAGCCCATGAATGCATTCTGTAGGCAAAATACAGAGTTACTGAACATTAAAATAGATGGAACATAAGGAGTCAATATCAGGTTACTTACATTTATACTACTTACACCACAACTACATGTTAACAATAACACTAAAATGTAACCTATCTCTTATTGGCACTGGGTCCAATATGCGGGCCTCAAAACGAAGGACTCTGGAAAGAAGTGTAACACAGATATATTTTCGATATTCAGTGTAACACTATGTACATTTGGCACTAACTAAAATATTTTAATAATGATATGCATTCGCAATAAAATCACTGCTGCAATTATTCCTAACTTCACCGCACATACAAAGACATTCTCTCTCCCCATCTTTAATCGGTTTAAATTTAATTCTATATTTGTATACTTGCATGTCATGCATATGAAAATATATGAATTATAGGACAAAGAAAATTGTTGAAAATTGTTTTCCAAATTACAACACATACATAACATATACAAAGTCTTCGGTCATTCTCGAGACAGATTACAAGCATTCATGAACAATGATGAATTAGTTTTATCAAATAAATAAAAAATAAAAATTTGTGATTCCTCGTTGTCGTCAATAAATTACGTCATCAACAATGTCAACAGATATTTATTTACTCGGCATTGTTGTGGAACACAACAATGCCGAGTACAACACAACAATGCAGAGTAAACAAATAACGCTTCACAACAAAGAAATCAAAAATTATCAAGCCAGTCGCATTATCACTGCTCCAGAAGCAGCACATCACATTCCTGAATATTGACTGACAGTCGGCCTAAAACATCAGAAAAGTGAAAGAAGAAGTTGTCAAGTATTTGAAGTATGAACTCTAACAACTCCTACAAGGTAAACTGATACTCATTCGATATATTACGATTACGAAAGTATCATGAAAACTGACTTTTGATCGATTTTAAGACGAAGATTTGCAGGTGTGGGGCTGGACGTAAGTAGTTGACTGAACAAGAACTGTTGGCCTCTGAACAGCGACGTAAAGAACTACAACATCAGACCTATTTAACATATAAAGTAAAGCGAAGGAAGAATTATATTGATAAACGCAGGAATATGTATTTAACAAGAACACAAGAACAAAAAATCAGACGAAGATTTGAAAGGGTGGGGTTGGACGTAAAAAGTTGGCTGACCAAGAACAGTTGGCCTCTGAACAGCGAGATAAAGAATTAAAACATCAGAACTATTTAACAAATGAAGGAAAGCGAAGTAAGACTTACATTGATAAAAGTAGAAAAACGTATTCAACAAAAACAGAAGGGAAAGAAATCAGACGAAAATTTGCAAGGGTGGGGTTGGACGTAGAAAGCTGACTGACCAAGAACAGTTGGCCTCTGATCAGCGACATAAAGAAGTAAAAAATCAGATTAGAGAAAGTGCTCCGAATAAGACACTAAATTAACACCCCGAAAGGGGATAGTTTAGTGTCTTACTCTAGATTTTAAAACGCACCCAACCCCCAGAAGGGGGAGTTAGTCAAGTGTTTTAACCCGCCCATTGGGGGGTGAGAGTTA